CTCCATTATACACACACACACGCACACACACACACTGGACAAAGTGTAGTACTTACTTCTCTTTTCCCATCCTTAGTTTTTCACCTAAAAAGCATGTCTGGTCTATTCCTGTGGTGGAGATCTCTTGAAATTTTGACATTTTACTCAATAAAAATGTTTTGACATTTTAGTACTCAAAAATATTTAAAAGGCTGGCGATGTAACTCAGTGTGAAGGCCCTGAATTCATTCCCTAGTACAAAAAAGAAGAAAGAGAAAGACAGACAGAGGGAGGCAATCCCAGGACTGGAGTCACTCACCTGCAATGACTTGACGACCTCTACCTTTCCCATCCTTGGCACCTTCGATGATACCTGGGAGATCTAGGAGCTGCAAAAGTAAGGGCAGGAGGAAGAAGAGGAAAGGAACAACCAATTATAAATCTGAACAGACCAACACAATGATTTCTTTCTCAAATATCCAAAATGTATGAGAAATAAAACTTCCTTACAAGTCAGTGTGTAATTTTACTTTCACTAAACATCTAGTAATTGTTAGCTACAGGCTTTTAATACACTTTTCCTAGGCTGAAATGCATAATATCCCTATCAAAGATAATAGTTCAAGCTCAGAGTTAAGAGAGTTGCCCAAAGTCACAATCCTAATAAATCAGATTTTAACTCATGCATTTGGGGCCAAAACTCATTATTCTACATTACTGTCTTTCAGTGTTCACCCACCTTTCTGAAGGCTGAGCCTCTACATAGATTCCTCACTGCAAATCATAGCCAGATCTTGACACTACATGTGATACTGAGAATGTAGTAAAATCCCAACTCAAAAACTTCTGCAGGAAGGGTCGGGGATCTGACTCAGTGATTCTGCTGTCTGCTTCACAAGCACAAGGACCCAAGTTTAACCCATGGTACCAAAATAAAAACAACAACAACAAAACACTTCTACAGTGGATCTTACCACACAAAAGATTCACCAGGAAAACTATTAAAGATGTAGACAGCTGAGACCCATTACTGCAGATCCTGATTTGGAATGGCCATACAAGGGTGTCAAAACCTCCACAGGTGACTGTTAAAGATCTTTACTGTTAACGTACTTAACAACCAAAACCCCTCCTTAAAATTTTTTTTTAATTTTAAAAGGCAAAAGAATACACTGTTGAAACGGAGGGCAGGGATAAGAGGAAAAACTGAGAACCAAGACCTGTCATGTAAAGGTACAAGATCCTAATAATGAATGTAACTGTACTGTATACCTAAAATGTACCGATAAACTAAAAAAACAAAACAAAACAAAAAAAACTGTTGAGTGGAAGATTAAAGCGGTAAACACCCCTTTATTAAAGTGGAGTCTCCCAACTTGTGGAGTCCCCTAACATTGTAACATATGTATTGTAATATATATATATGTTTTGGGGGGTACTGGGGGTCGAACTAGGGACCTCCCACTTGGGAGGCAGGCACTGAAACCAATGAGTAAATCCCCAGCCCTATATATATTTTTAAAAGAAAAGCAAACATGAAACTTACAACCTGGACTTCACACCCCAGGCCATGCTTACTTTATGCACAGCTCCTACTCAGGGAATCTAGACCTCCAGACCTGAGCAGGGGCCCCTCCTCCCAAAAGCCTGAAAAAGCCCTGAGTGGAAAAAAGGGCAGACACATACCTACTCAGAAACTCAGAAAACACACACACACACACACACACACACACACACACACACACACCCTGGACTCTCCTCCTCCATATGGAGCCCTTAAATATGCACACCTTCGTACTTCCCTCACTCACAGAGGGACAATGACTGCCTTCTCCCTTCCCTTTGGCTCTCAGTGCCATTAGGAAAGCTTAGTTTCTTGCCCTGGACATGTAGGAAACCACGCACACACTGCTGCCCATTCTCTCCTCTATCCCACCGGGCAGGGTCCAATGGAAATCCTGAAGGAGGCTGTCCAGCTGGGGTAGACATGGAGGGAGAACATGAAGGGGCATCTAAGGAGTGGGCCCTAAACAGTCATTAATGCTCAAGGGAAGGGACAGTAAAGATATAGCCACCACCTGCTCGAATCTGCTCCTTGTGCCAACTTCACATTCTCCTGCTCAAGGGAGAGTGGGGGCTGCTCCAGGCAGCAGCCGATCATGAGTTGGTACACGAAGACACCTGCAATGGAGCCCAGGAGCGGAGAGACATGAAGACTTCTGAACCACCAATGGCAGTGAAAAGGAAGGGACCAAAGTCCCAGGGGCAGGGTTGGCGGTGTAGCCAGAGCTGAAGGCCATGGAGGTGTCAATGACTAGGACCATAAGGTCCACGGGGAAGGCCTCCAGGCCACAGGTAACGGGATAGTTGTAGGGGTCAATGATGGCCAGCACACATACTATGAGGGAGGTTGTGCCTATGAACTGGTTGAAGAAGCCACTGACCATGTCCAAGTGTCCAGAGTGGCAGGTGGCACAGAAGCCAGGTGTGCCATTGGGACCCAAGACTATAAGCTCATTGTTGGCAAAGCTCCAGATAGCATCATAATACAGCCCAAAAATAATCCCAGCACCCAAGAAGGCTCCCAGCGTCTGAGCCAGGGTAGATGAGCAGTTTGATCCAGAGCTCTCATGCCAGGAAGCACGTGGCAAAGGTCACAGCAGAGTTCAGGTGGGACCCAGAGACCTGGCCAGCTATGAGGATGCCCAGGGTGAAAGCAAAGCCAACGGCCAGGTTGATGGTGAGGAAGCCACCATGTGTGCCCTGGCTGAGCACTACATGGCCACAGAGCCACAAGCAAACATCACGAGGATAAGGGTCCCCAGACACTCCGCCATCGCATGAGGCAGCCAACAGCAGATATGGATCATCTCCCTGCAGTGTGACACCAGCTCCTCCTGTCAACCCATGGCTCTGGCAGCAAGCGGTAGGTGTGTCAGGCACAGTGAGCAGAGGCCCTACCTTATAATCTTAAATGGTTCTAATCCTTATCCCTCTTCCACTAAATTACAGATAACAAAAATCACCTTTTTTTCTTTCAGTGGTTTATGGAAATTAAACCCAGGGCCTTCACAAAGAGCCTCTAAAGCCTTTTTTTTTTTTTTTTTTTTTTTTATTAACACATGTTCTCACTAAATCACTAAATTGCCCAAGCTGGATCTCAACTTGTGACCTTTCTGCCTCAGCCTCCCTGCCCTGAGTGCTGACAGGGAGGCTGAGGCAGGAAGATTACTGAGTTCCAGGCCAGCTCACATAGTAAGCTCAAAGATAGCCTGACCTATAGAGCCAGGCTCTGTCTGGATCAGTTAATATTTTAAAAAATATTTCACAGCAGACATCTTAAGGCAGTTAAGCACACCTAAAATATTTACATGGTTTCTGGAGAAAGAGGAGAACAGAGGTAGAAGGGAGAAGCAGGAAAAAAAGCACCCTGCAAAGTGGGGTACAGGGCCACAAAAAAAAAAAAAAATCAAAGAGAAGAGTTCAGTAGCTCTTTATTCTGCTGTCAAAAGCCCCTTCAATAGGTGGTAACAGAATCTCATCACGAAATAAGTTACTCTCTGAGCTGCCAAAGCTAAGACTATCAATAAGACTCGAAACCATCCAGAATCAACCCATGGTCCATACACCTGTGTTTCCTAATGCTCTTTTTTTGGTACTGGGGATTGAACTCAGGCCCTTGCACTTGCAAGGCAACTGCTGGAACCAGAGCTAATCCCTGGCCCAGTGTTTCCTAATTCTTGTTACATACATTTAGACATAAGATCCCAGAAAAAGATAAGACCCAATACAGTTTCTGCATGGGCACCTAATCAGCAATAAAAGGGTCACTAAAAATTATCACCAGAACACAGGTTCCTTCCTACTTCAGATTCTAAAAAAAGCATGAATGCATCTCACAACTCATTGTGTAGCTCAGGAAGAAGAAAAACAAATGCCTACACTTTGGCTTTCAAACTATGTACTAAGACAGTCTGGGGTACTCATGAGCTGACAGGTAGGACAGCCCATTGGCTATCCTAAATTTTCAAGAGAAACACAGCAATTATTTTTTCTTTTTTTAGTTTGGGGAATAATTGAACTTGGGACCTTGCGCTTGCAAGGCAGGCGACAGCACCACTGAGCTAAATCCCCAGCCCTACACAGCAATATTTAATTTGTATCAGATACCAATAGAACTACTAGCTCCAGCAGCTGACAATTTCAGCAATCGCACTACGCTGTTTTCAGTTACATCAGTTCCAAATCTTGGAAAGCTGGATTTTTTTTTTAGCAGTTGCTATGGAAAAAATAAGTATCACATAAATATTAGTGTGGGAAAGGAAATACATATGGCAGCACCTAACTCCAACATTTGAAGAGTCATGTAGCATGCAAAAGGTACATATTCCATTAGTAAATGCCTGTGGTTAAAGAGACATAAATACTTCAGTTGTTTGGACTAAACTATTTAACAAATGGAACCGAGCAGTTTGCAGTCTTTATTGTAATGATGATACTGCTCGACTACAAACCCTGAAACAATACAGCTTTTAAACTTAAAACATTTGGTAAAACTATCACTGAGTTTTTTTCTGTTGCCAATAGGAAACTGCTTTCCATTAATGGAGAATACATGCCCTTTATGCATTTTAAATATCACAATATTTATAAATGTGGCTTGGAGAAATTGTTTTAATTCTTTTTCCTAATTTTCTTTCTCTAGGATAGAGTCTTTCAACAAGTAATTTGTAGTAATGACTGTGCAGACTTCAATTTTGGAGCGTAGTAGTTAGTTATGTTAAAGATTAACTATTTGGTTGTACTGAAGCCAACACAGGACTTGCTGCTGTGTCTTCCTTCTTCAGTGATAAATAAAATACTCACAGAATTTTAGTGTTAAAAAAAAGGAACCATACAATATTTTTGTTTGTCTAGGGAACACCATAAAAAACTGGCACACAGGGCCAGGGATTTAGCTCAGTGGCTCTCCTGGCTGCCTCAAAAGCACAAGGTCCTGAGTTTGATTCCTGGTACAAAAAAAAAAAAAAAAAAAAAAATTGGCACACAGCTGTAATCCCACCTACTCAGGAGACTGAAACAGGAGGATTACAAATTCATAGTCAGCCTAGGCAAGGAGTAAGAACTTGTCCCAAAATTAAAAATGACAAGAGGGGCCAAGGCAAGCGCAAGGTCCTGAGCTCGATCCCCAGTACCACGGGGTCCAATCTGCAATACTGACAAATAAATAAATGAGACACAAAAAGGTAGCAAGAAATAATTGCTGAGATATTCAGGGTACAATGATTCAAGAAAGTTTAGGAACCTCTTAACAAAAACTCAAATGTCCCCAAAATTCAGAATGTTTTTTTTTTTTTTTTTTTTTTTTTTTTGGTACCAGGGATTGAACTCAGGTCCTTGTGCTTCTGAGTCTGGCAGCAGAACCACTGAGCAAAATCCCCGGCCCTGTGGATTCTTAACTATACAGCCAACAAGAGTATGTTCCACTGTATGCTATATATACCTTCTTTCATACCCATGAAGACCCCTTGTTTAGAGCCCTAAACCTATTTTTCTAGAAGAACGTCTTAGGAGAACAATTTTGTTTTGTTTTGTTGAGACAGGGTCTCACTATGTAGTTGAGACTGACCTGGAACTCACTATGTAGCCCAGGCTGGTCTTGAACTCACAGTGATCCTCCTGCCTCAGCCTCCTGAGTGCTGGGATTACAGGCGTGCGCCACCATGCCTGGCTAGGAGAACAACTTTATTAGACCTCACAGATAAGAATTCCCTTCTAAAAAGGTCGGATCATATTATTTACTTGAAAGTTTTTTATAATTCCTAGCTACAAACAAAAATCAATGTCCTTAGCATATACACAAACCCTATCATAATTCAGTCCCAACTTACCTTTCTAGATTTAGCTTCCAGCACTCTGGCCCCACACACTCTCACATGACAGCAAAATATTTACCATTATTACTGCCTGAAATGCTCTTCTCCCTTCTCTGCCTGGTGAAATTCTATACTAACTTTAATTCTCACTTGCTATATCACTTTCTACATCAAGTCTTTGTCTTACTAGACCTTCTTCTCCAACGCTCAGGTGAAAAACTATTTTTTTTTCTTTCCTTTTTTTTTTTTTTGGTACCAAGGATCAAACTTGGCCCTTGTGCTTGCAGGGCAGACAGCAGAACCACTGAGCCAAATCCCCAGCACAAAAAACTATTTCCCCAGGCACAGTTCCTCTATTTTTTCTTGTTTGGGTGTTTTTTGTTTGTTTGTTTTTTGGTGAGTCAGGTTCTCACCATGTAGTTCAGACTGACTTTCAACTCACTGCAATCCTCGTACCTCAACCTCCTGTGTGCTGGAATTACAGGCATGCACTATTATGGCCAGCACTAATCCTCTATATTATTTCATTTTTGCACTGCTCTATCCGCCCTGCCAGACAATAAGGGTCCAGATCAAAACTCAGCCAGGTGTGGTGGCACATGCCTGCAATCCCAGCACTTGGGAAACTGAGGCAAGCGAATCGCCACAAGTTCAAGGCCCACCTGGGCTACATATTGAATTCAAGGCCATCTGAACTACATAGTGAGACCATGCCTCAAAACAAACAGCAACAAACTCAGACCTGGCATACAGTGAGCTCCCAAAAGTACAATGAACAAAACTATGGATTTCTTTGCTTCCTTGGCCTGTAGGCCTGACTCACCTGGATCTTGGCACCTTTGTATCTGATAACACCAGGCACAGTAGTCAGAGTAGTGAACTCATAGGCTGCCACCTCAGAATATACTCCTGCCAGGTTACTCAGCAGCGTTGACTTCCCCACAGATGGAAAGCCCACAAAGCCAATTCGAGCATCACCTGTCTTGGCCACATCAAAACCTAAAGCAGTAAACATTAAAAGGAGAAGCTTTATCTAGATGAGGTAAAATGTATGAATTTTATTCACATTTTTGCTGCTCATCTCTCTAGGTCCCATATCTCAAAACTTTTTCTGGTTTACCTCTGAAGTAGAACTGAAGCACACATACTTCCTCTACATCAATTCACAACATTCAGTGCAGTGTTTCATAAAAAAACTGCATTCCTCCATCATTTCAATTGTCATGTACCTTTTTAGTAGATATATTTAAGATATGAATATTTTTAAATAGGGAGTTGTCTTAAGACACCCTGTGAATGGTGTAATTGACATGGTTTTGTTTTGCCAAATGGCTGCAAAAAAATACAAAACTAAATCTGCGCCTTTCCCTAGCAAGCATATGGAGCTATATGAAGCTTCCTTTAGGTTCTACACTTATCTCTCTTGGCTTCAACTTCTTATTCTTACCTTCATTTTCCCTTTTTAACAATTTCCTTATTTATTTTAATCTTGGCAATGGTATAGATTTATATACTTCTACAAGCCAATGCAAATCTGTTTTGGATCAGTACAGACTACAGATAAAACCGTAATTAAAAAAAAAAAAAGAAAGAAAGAAAAGAAAGAAAGAAAGAAAAAAGCCGGGGATTTAGCTTAGCAGTTCGGTGGACTGCCTTGCAAGTGCAAGGACCTAAGTTCAATCCCCGGTACCAAAAAAAAAAAAAAAAAA